ATTGCATTGCCACCTATTCCAGCAAGATTAGCACCAACTTGGATTGCTGATGAAGCAGTAGAAGATACTAGAAGAATAGGTGCTCAATAATCCGTTTGGTTGCACATGGATTTGTTAGGAGAATAATCTATGTTTTTATTTTGTAACTGAATATGTCATTTTCCTCCTTTGAAGGGTGTATATATGTACCTTGTAAATCTGTAAATGATTACACAGTTTTAGTGAAGCAAATTTTATTCCAAAGATTGATTGTTCTCAATATTTTTTATCCCCAAATTTACACATTGACTTGTTTATTGCCGACTTATATAGACCTTTACCGACCAAAAGTGTGGTCAGCAAAAGGTTGTGTCATTACCGACCAAATGTTTTTTTGCCTGTCAAAGTCTCTATGTTTCCCGACTAAACTGTAGTTTGGTCGGTAATTCGCTAGCTGGCTTTTGGTGACCAGCTGCTGACCAACATTTTTCAGTCATAAATTGGATTTCCTAACTCATATTAGATTTTTAGCAACCAATTTCTTTTTTTTTTTTGAAAATGAAACTAGTTTCATTGCTCATCGCAATAGCTAACGGTACACGGAGGAAATAAAATAAATTTCTTTTAAACTTTTTTTTTTTTTTTGAAAATGAAACAAGTTTCATTGCACATCACAATAGCTGACGGTACACGGAGGAAAGACCTCCAACACAAAGCCCTCCAAAGCGGGATTAAGTGTTACCAAGGTAAGAGCCCAAGTTAAAACAATGGTCATCACAACCAACCGAAAAACAAAAACGAGCAACAAACAAACAGAAAAAACTATACGAGACAACACCAACCCAACCAAATCCAGGAACCAGAACAGGTGCAAATACATTTGGAATCAAGGTCTTCATAAATTATCAATACACCGCAGCCCTTCACCAAACCGGTGATTGAATACCCAAAACCCGACGCACGCACCGCACACCCACCACATCCCAACCAAAAAAGAAACACATCAACCAAACCCAAGAACCAGAACAGGTGCAAACACATCCGGAATCAAGGTCTTCATTAATCATCAATACACAGCAACCCTTCACCAAACCGGTGATTGAATACTCAAAACCCGAAGCAAGCACCGCACAACCACCACATCCCAACCAAAAAAGAAACACACCACCAACCAACACATCACCAAATCCAACACAACCAACCACACAACCACACAACCAACAGACCACCAAAATACAATCAACACACCACCAACACCAATCGACGCCATCGCTGGAGACCCAGCCAAGACGACAAGCCGGCGAAGCTCCCACAACAGCAACGCCCCACCTGCACTGTCCACATAAAGCCAGAAACGACCAAGGCCTGCCTCCCTTTCCAGCCAAACCTCGCTCGCCTCTCCCCACCGACGACAGCACGCCCGAGCACCACCATCAAAGCTAAGCCAACCACACCACCGCCCCGCCCAAATCCGGCCAGCAAAACAGCGAAACCAAGGGCAAAATAAAGAAAAACACAAAAAAAAACGGAAGAAAAAGGAGAAAAAAAGGGGACAAAAGGAGAAAAAACGGGGAAAGATGAAAGGTGAAAAGGGGAAGCCTCAGCTCCTCCCCCCCCGGAAGGAGGGAAAACTTCACAAGGAAGGGAGAAAACCTTACCACGCAGGGGGAAGGACTGGATGTATAGCAACCAATTTCTTGGTCGGCAAAAGTCATATTTCATGTAGTGACCCAACACTGCTCACATCTTCAACATGAAAAATGATTTATTTATTTATTTTCTCTCCAAATTAGCTCAGCCCAACAAACCATTATTGTTTCACCATTTTTTAAAATAAAATTTGAATAATATCATTTATTGACTAAAATATATAAATAACTAAAAAAATTATAAAATGCAAATAGAAAGTGTGGAGAACCAAACCCAATTTCTATTTCTAAAAAGCCAAAATAATGAGCATATTAGAACTTAATTTCAAGGATTGACTTTTAAAAATAGAGAGAATATGTATTTAGAACATCTCTTGAAGATACTTTGGAGAGGCAAATTGACTGATTATTAAATATAAAGAATTAGGTTACTCAAAAATAGAATTCACTACATAGAATAAAGAGGATGAGGCGTAAGAAGAATCTTTTGAAGATATTTTTAAACGGAATAACACGAGAAGTGAATAAGGTGTTACGATCAAAAGTATATAGTGGAATGTTAAATTATTACATACTTATTAGTTAATTCAAGGTGCTAAAGCTATGGTTAAAAAGTCTACAAAACATTAAGTACTTGAAGTCTATAAAAGAGCTAGTATCATGTATTATATCATATTGTGAGGAGCAATTACTGAATGACAGGTACATTTATTTAAATCATACAATTTATGGTTTATTTTATGAAGTCCACGGAAAATGCTTACATTATTATACATGTTTGGTTGCGCTTAAAAAGCTACGTCAAATTTATTTATAAATTCATACACATGCTAAACATTATTCTTAAAGTAACTTTTTTTATACTCCCTAAAAAAGTAACTTTTGAGCGAGTCGCCTATACTGCCAAATATGATTTGGCTATTTTACCATCAGCTCCATTGGGGTAGAATCCACCAGGGTTACTTTCATTTCCACTTCCATACACAATTCTGAGTATTTCCTCTGGTGTTCTGCCATATGAAATGGAGAATTGGTTCCCAACAAGCACATTGCCAGCAATTCTACCTTCAGCACCTTGTGATGGATTGACTATAAGCCCTTCATCTTTCACGCCTGCATCACCAAGCTTATTTCTCAGGTTCGATATCCGATTAGTGAATTCGGCCACTGTTATTCCATATGGCACCACGATCTCCAACGACCGCTCAAAAAGCAGCGTTCTTATGACCGCGTCTTGGCCTGCTTCCACGCCCAAAAGCCCCGCGAGTAGCTGATGATCATACGTACACATGCCAAAATATTAGATAGAATGTTTGGTAAGAAACAATGGAGATGATAATAGTATTAAGGAAGAAAAAGAAGCCAATATGACATGCAAAAAAGAGCAATTTAGGCATACTCTTTTGGCTTTAGAGCTCTGGAGGTTTGGATTTGTCCCGACATATCCGGTGAGACCAACGTAAGGGATGACGTAGGATGCAAGAAGATAGTTGATGTCATTGGCATAAGGATTGAAAGGAGGCCTTAAAGGTCGTCCAAATGCATTGTTCATGATAGTTGCAAATGATTCTGCGCTTAAATTCAGCAGTGGCCTGGGAAATCCGGGGACAGCACTCTTAATTGCCCTGCATATGAGATCGTAATCGCTTGAAAGATATTTTTTATAAGGAAAGGATGACACAATGTTTGGTTTATAATAATCATAGCAAGTTTGGCTTAGCTTAAAAGTTAGAAAAGAAACGAGCCAAAATTAGCTTTTTTTTTGGCAGGATCAAGAGTTATGACGTCTAAAAGATCTGCCTTCTTCTAGGAAATAAGCAAAGCTAAACATGCTCATCAGAATTATTGGAATTTTCTGGTTCCAGTTATATTTTCATTAACTTCCTTCCATCTGAGACACCAACTTTCCAAGATTATGAAGCCCAATTCTCGACTAGAGGGAGCTCAAAAGGCATTTGCACTTCCATCCTTGGTACAAATTAGGCTGGACCGATGGGTTGAACCATTCATATTTCTTCTGTTACTTTGCTGAAAAGGTAGCTGTGAAATATTTGGTTGGGACTCAAAAAATGGGATTTGAAGTGTAGAAGAAGGGATGCACGATTAGACCAATGAAATATTGTTCCCTATTTCTAAGGATTATATGTTATAATTAAAGTGTTTCCCATGGAATATTAAGTTATAATCTTATTGTCATAGAAAAAATAACTTGATAGAGAAGTGAAGTAACCTCAAATGTCCAACTTCTTGAAATGCAAATTGTGATATAATATTTCTTATGATAGAGCTCAGTAGGGCAGTCCTAGCCCCGATGGGCCGCGGACCACCCCCGGTGAGATTGGGGTCCACGCTTTCCAAGCCACGTCCCAGTGCACCAAATAAGAAAAACTCAGCTTCCAAGTATTCTAAATTTAAAGGGAATTCTAAAAGATGAACGTCAGACTCTGTTATGTTTCCTGAATCCCGCTCTACGAAGATCTCAGCCTTAAAGGTGTAAGAGCTGCAGAAGAGAAGTAAAAGTGTGAAAGCAGTGGCGGTCGAGTTGGTTAAGGTGATGGCAATGGATAATGCCATGGCGGAAGGTGGCGAAGCTTGGCTTTGCTTTGCTGAATTGTGTGGTGTGTGCTTATGCAATATGCTGCAACTCATCGACATATATATAATATTTCAAACTGTTGACAGTGTCCGAAATTCGTTGCCACTTGGCAAAACAAGATTGAATCATTTTTTTCAATATCAATTTCAATAGTACATTCTAAATATATGCTACACTAACAAGTCCAATGACATATTCAAAAATAAGGGAAACACGTGTCAACACATGATTAGACAATTTTTTTAAAAAAAGCCAGTTAGGTGCTGCCACCTCCACAACTTTTCTCAACTTTAAATCACACAGTCTTCAAAAAATCAATTTTTACTTAGAAAAAGCTATAACAAGTAAGCTCTAACTCAAAATCTGTAATTAAGGCATGTAAAGAGTCGCATTGGTAGCAGGTAACTAACTTAGCCGTATTTTGAATTGACATAATTACAGGAGAGTTGAACTCTGTTATTATAAAAATATTAATATATATAGGTGTAAATTTACGAAATTTGGCCAGAGTTTCTACTCAATTAAAAGAACAAAAAATAAAGAAAAATTAGAATTGATTGAGGCAATGGTTCAACGCTTTCTCCTTAATACGATAAGAGTTCAATTTTATGCCCAACTATGGTACTTCTAGGCCTGTGGATGCAGTACTGTTTGCAAGTTCCATAATTTAGTTGAAAGTTTTTATTTTATTTTTAAAATAAATTTCTATATTGATTAAATATGAAAGTAATAACCAATATATAAAGGTTTGGACTCCCAATTTTTTTTTGGTAAGGTTAATATTTTATTATAAGATCTCAAGATTCTCATCATGTTTGGGTGAGCTTATTTTCTAGAGAAAGTCGCTGGGAATGCTCTTCATGTGGTATCATGGTGCAAAAACCTAAAAGGAATGATGTTATTGTTCTAAAGCTCAAACAAACAATTAGTTATAAGCTTAATGTCCTTAATTGAGCCTTCATATTGTAAAACATGTTTGACAAAAATTTCACATTGACCAAAACATAAAAGCGAAAAATCAACACGTAAGTGTTTAAATAACTCTTTTTAATAAAAATTGATAGGGATAATTGCAATAGCAGATCCAAACATGTCATTTTTTTTTGCAGATTTTACCATAACTTTCAATTCGTACCAACGAAAGTTCCAAACCTTCGAGAAATTAACAGTAGTGGTCCAAATGGATGAAAACTGTGAGTTCCATCATTAGTTGACCTAAAAATTGAAAAAAATTGGATATTTTGACTAATTTAAACGGGGCAATTACCCCCCCCCCCCCACCACTTCATATTGTTCAAAAACACCCACACCCAATCCCACCTAGGGGTGGAAGGGGGGTGGGGGCGAGTAACCCACCAACATTTTCAGTTTTGAATTTTTTTTTTTTTTTTGGGTTTAGTTTGACCTTTTTAAAAATCAAGTATACCTTTTAAAAAATTAGGTTTGAAGTTTTTTTTTTTTTTTTGGCATGTGAAAATTGTTTATTTCTTGAGAAGAAATAGAGATTCAAGATCAAGATAAAGTGCAGTAAATTTAATGAGTAGTTTCATTTATTAAGTAATCCACCATTTCTTGATTAAGCTTAAAAATTACTCAATAAATTATTCAAAATGTTTAAGACCTATTTTTCAAGAGATCCACTTGTGGAGTAACTTTTGATTATCATATTAAGTCCCATCTAACTTAACAAATTCGTTTTTTTTAAATATCCATAAACAAACGCCTACACTTGTCCAATATTGTCTAATGCAACACCACCTATAGTTCGAAATGTTGGCTTCATCGAAAATTCTAGATAATCTAGGGGTATATTCTCTTGCATTTCATTAAATTCTTTTCAATCCGAGCAAAGATTCTATTAGTTGAATCTTCATGGTTTTAGTATGGTATTATTGCAAAACAACCGATTGGACAATCAAATCTGCCTACAAATTTGTAAAGCATAACTACCATTCTTAAAAAGATCACTTTCATCATCATCCATTTATAAAAGGGAAAATTGTATTTATATGCTCTACATAATTCATGATGTTGTCTTAGTTCAAATTCAAGATAGCTCTATTATGTATTTACCAAAAATCTGATTTGTTACACAGATTAGTGACTAAACAAGGAAAGAGAAACAAAAGAAGGTGGTCAACTTAAGTTACTTTGTTTTTGAAAATTGAAAGGTAACTAGTATCCGACAACGGTAACTTAGAGTTTCAAATTATTATTTTCTTTGGGGAAAATTCAAAGTGATAGAGAAAATAGATTTGGATTATATTTATAGTTAGTTTCATTGTGTTAAATTGATTTGGAATGGGTTTGGAATGATTTATGTTTTTCTCAACTGTTTTTACAAGTTTGACTATGTACTCTAACTTAAAATGTCTGCGTTCGTCACTGCTTACACCCTCTAAAATGTTGAAGCTGTATTCATAGCGTTGCTCAATCCTCGAACCTCTACTCTCAAACCCTAATATTACTCATTTTCCCTCTTCATTTATCTCTCGTTTCATCAGTCATAGCCCAAATTTATTTTAAATAATGAGCACTGGTGAAAGAGAATATAATGGCAAATGGGGAGCAGTCAGGTAGCATAATTTAAGTATTTCTAAAAGGTTGCTTGAGCAATCAAACTCAAAATTTGGAGCTGTAATCATTAGTTTGAGTATTGAAAATTCTGCGTGCATATTCAGACAAGGGGGAGAAGTTGGGTATGGTTATGCCAAGACTAAATTGTTGCAAACAGGGCTCCAAATCACCTAGAAACCGAGCTCAGTTCCACCACTCGATGATCACAATCACCAAACCAATTCACAAACCACACTTCCCAAAACTGTTGATTTAAAGCTGCCCACAAAGAGCTGATGGTGGAAAAGAATTGAGGCCCAAATGTGTTAATCCACAAAGGAAGAAGAAGAAGAAGAGGAACAAATTGCCAAAGAGAAGGCAAAAACCGAAAGCACAAAGCAAAGGGCGAAAAACTGAATACTATTCTCCCTTCCAAAACACACGGCTACTCACACACTGCAAACAGTAATGGACAATGGCTTAAATAGGTTAACCTTACGTGTGGACTTTAGGTCAAGTAATAGGGTCCAATAACAAAAGGAGATAAGTGGGCTAACAACCTTAAAGCCTTCCAAATATTTGTGTTGGGCATGAGCAACACTAATATAATTAGGCTGCTTCAAATGGTCCAAATGGGTTACGCGAGAGATTTAGACAATCGTGGTGTCGATTCACAACTTCAGTCATCGGCCGAGGTCTATGAAGTATAATCCAACAATAAACCGGTTTAACATCATAGCTCGGGATTTATTGTGTGTCAAAACCCAACAAATCTCCGCCTTAATTCCTAATAAATCTGGAAGCAACAAAAACACACAGTTTATACTTGCACAATCAAGGTAACCAATAAAATTGGTATCACGGATCTTATCTCGTGTTTCGAACCTGAAACACATACCATACCTGCTCTATATACTCACCAGGGCTAAGATCAATAACACCCAAGTAGAAATAAGTAATCACAACAATCAATTAAGAGCAAATAAATATGCGAAGGAGATATCATATAGGATAATACAGATCTTTTCAACCGTGTTCACACAGAACAACAGATTAACACCAAGTCAATCAACATGGTAACATATACGCAATAAATTCATAAATGACCTCACGAAGAAGATCTCACCACACTTATCCTATCCCATTCCGTGTTGCTCGTACCTCAAGAATACACATCTCACCTCATCGCTCACAATGCTCACTAGACTAATCACTCAAACCATATCTAACTGATAAGTCTCTATAGATCCTAAGTTCTCGGGATAATCCTCTATCACCACATCACTTTTCCAACCTAAATGGATAATGGGTCTCCACCTAACAGAAGTGATAGAAGTGCATCCCTTGCACTCCACCTGATCATGGTCTCTTACAGATAAAAGGATCCCAGACATTTAATCACCTCTCCACCGTGATCCAAATGTCACACTCCACATCCTACTGTACAAACCACAATGTACCCCTAGGTATCTATACTCCACCTTACCGAAAGACATACTCATACACTGCTAATGCATCCCAAACCCACTATACATGCAAACACATTACGCAAAGTAATAAAATCACTCCAATCCATGCCAATGTACATATCAAACACACTGAAATGCTGTTCATGCAACCGAATTGAGTAATCACACACATGCAGAAAAGGATTACACACGGATGCAAATCCAGTAACTAGGGTAACACTCAATAGGGTTCACTAGGGTCATCACTCGACCCTAAAACCAGATTCCTCTCGCCTTTCTCTTACCCTTCTTCTTGGGACAATCCCTAATGAAGTGTCCAGACTTACCACAGTTGTAACTCTGTCTACTACTGGACTTGTCCCAACTCTTACTCTTCTTCTTACTACCATCATCACTCGATTCACTACTCGAATCACCACTATCTTGAACTCTACCCAAACTCATCTGCTTAAACTTCATTCTACTCCTCATCATATGCAACTCACCATTTCTCTTATCTTCTTTTTCAGCCTTAATCTCCATATCCTTACTCCTAAGGAAATCTATGAAAATCTTAGGGGTTAAGGTGTCATTACCATACTTAATAGCATTTTTAACTTCCCGATAAGTATCAGGTATAACATTCAACAAAAATAATAGCATTGTAGGTTTCAGACACCGACTCTCCACAATTAACAATATCTTGAACAAGTTTGTTAAAAATATCTAGATTGTCATCAAGATCCTTTGAAGGATCCATTTTGAAACTAAAAAACGCTCAAGTAAGTAAAGATTGTTTGGAGTAGATTTGAGCAAATACAGTTTTCCAATTTTTGCCAAAACTCTTTAGTGGTTTTTAGTTTGCCCACTTTTCTCAAAACTGCGTTAGCCAAGTGCAAAATAATAGAGGTATAAGCAAGCTCATCAGCCTATTCTTGTTGTTCTTTTGAAAAACCAGTGGGAAAATTGCCATCAATGGTTTTTGAAACCTTTTGTTGGACCAGAATACCTCTCATTTTTGTTGCCAAATAGAAAAATCACATTTTCAATTAAAA